GTTTACATGTTTGAGGTTGAGTTTTCTCATGAAAACACAGGTCAGGAGGAAAAGGCTCCCATCTGTCTGATCTGTCGTTCTGCACCCAGCCTTTCATGGCAGATGATCAAAAAGAGTCAATGAGTACATGAGGAAAAGCAAGTGGAAGGATTTTCCCCCGAAATACTAGTACTGATTATCAGGAGGAGCATTTGTTTACTTGAATTACCTTTCCGCCTTTTTGGTCATTTGTATGTCATGATTTCTCAGCCAACACTGTCTGTTCCTTATGTAATTAATTCTTCATCAGTTACTTCAGCGCTTAGGTAGGCTTGAGGCGGGGATTTAAGACCTGTGGTAGACCTGTGCAGAGAAGGTGCTGTTTCCACCCGGGATATATAGGCACACAAAAAGCATCTGCTGAGCACATTCAAACCTTTCCTCTAAGGGAAGGGACCCCGACTCCCCTGAAGCCCCCTTCTGCGGTTAGTTGCCCACTCTCATCTCAGTGCGGGAGCAACACATGCAAGATGTGCAGCAAGGTGCACATGCAGAGCTTTGTCTCCCAGGGCTCTGACTCTTGTCCCCAGTTGTCTGCTTTTCTCTGCAATCACAGTTACTTTGCTCCAGGGAAAACCCATTGTGACCAGCAGCACATGGGGCACTGCCATGTGATTTGCTTCAGTACACGCTGCTGTTGTCAGAAATAGTGTGACCCTTTTAGTTCCACACAGAACAGAGAGACTTTGAGGCTGCTTTCAGGACAGAAGAATCTACACTACGGATGTGCTTCGCAAGTCGCTTGGCTCGATTTGACCCATCATCATTCTATGTACTAATAGCTTTATGGTTTAGAGCTTTAATAGACATAGTAATGATCATCTTAAAATGAAAGTTCCTTGTTTTTTCTGTTTGCTGAAGGCTGACCTGGCTGCCATTTGTTCTTGTGACTTGGGGCACTTCTTCAAGGTACTGAAAAATTGTCCAACTCCGACAGCAGCAGGTTTTCCTTAGCTGTGATACAAGGTAGTTCAGGTTCCGGCTAATCTGTGAATTCCACGGTGTGTGTTTTAGCTTTAAATCTGCATTCTGGAAGTCAGTCTAACCAGGGCAGCTGAGTGGAGAGGAAGGAATTCAAGAGTATAAAATTGAGAACTAATTTAGGAACAGAAAGAAGGTATTACCTCAAACATCACTATCCTGTTTTTCACACGGATTCCACCATTTTACATTTCACAGTCTTTGTTTAGCACCCCAGCTCCATGATGTTGTGTGCATTTCACATCCACATAGCTTAAATGTAGCTGAAGCTAACCCCAAATTTAGGCAAAGCCGGCTAAGTGAAGAGCGACGAGCACTTGTTTTACTGTTAATGGAACAAATGCCACATAGTTCACAGAAAAAACCTTTTTTGCTCAGTTCTCCACAAAAGCAGTCCTGTGAGAGCAGTGCCAAGAATTAGAGTGATTTATGTTCGGGCCGGTCCAGTGATGCGGAGAGATAGTCCAGACTGATGCCAGAGCGGAGCTGGAACACACAATTGGCTAGAGGTGCTTTCCTGTGCAAATTGTTGCTGCTTGTGGAAAAACACCTCATACGGTGACAGGAGATCATTTCTGACTGCCTGTGGTTATAACAGCCTTGCCAGAAAGGTGAGATGGAGAAGTCTGTGTGACTGAGGTCTCCTCGTTCCCACAGAGATCTTCTTTGGTTTATAGAGCTGCTTGGTACTTT